CTGACGTTAATATCCACATGAACTTAGGTAGTGAACTTTCCCAGCTGTGCACAGCAGGAGCCCAGCTCCCAGGTGGGTCCCACATCGGATAGGGGCATGTCCCTGGGGCAGGGGCAGGGTGGGGTGGGATGCAGGAGGCAGGGCCTGGCCAAGAGTTGGAGGAAAACTCAGGAAAAAAGTACAATTTTACTCTGCATTTCTGTGCAATGAGAACTCGCTGCTGTCCTTTATCTACTTTCTAGATACCTGGACTTCTACTTGTGCTTTTCAATACTCAGAGAACCTAATTTTTTTTTTTTTTTTTTTTTTTTTTTTTTTTGTGAAACTCTGCCTACCATGTACACTTTCACTTTGTTTTTCAGTATTTTATTTTGTTCTGACAAGTGCATGTGATTACTCAGGAAGAACTGTCTTACCACCTCTACCACACAGACTGCAGAATGGTTTCTTTGCATGCTCTGAATACCTTGAAAACTGGTTAAATATTGCTTCTCTGTCCAAAACCTTCTGGCTTCCTAGTAATTTCAGTCTCAATATAAATGTTCCTTGGAATCACTTCGATTCATTGTTTCAATACATTATTTTTAAAGCAGCTTTATATTTGTAGAAAAATTGAGCAAAAAGGACAGTTTCTTGTATTACTAATACACTGCATTAATGTGGCATATTTCATGAATCAGCATCAATAATTACTAGCAACTAAAGTCTATAGTTTAGGGTTTGTCCTTTCTATAAGTTTCAGAAGCTGAATGATGTTGCCAGTGTATCCACAATTACAGTATCATAAAGAATAGTTTTACCACCATTAAAATCCTTATTCATCCCTCCTTTTTGGACTATTCTAAACTTTAATTTCTCTTATATGCTCTAATATTCTGCCATTACATCCCAGATCAAAATTTAGATATTCTGTATTTGCATCTTTACGAAAGTCTCTCTAATCTACAAGCTCATTTATCTTCTACACGTTTTTCAAATTCACCTGATGAGAGTCTCATTCATTTCTTCAGAAACATAACAGGTCTGTGTCCCTGTTTACTGAGAGGTCTCTGCGGCTACTACAGCTTATCTCTCCTCTCACTTAACTTTCTTCCCAGTTCACCTACATAGCTCAAGCTTAATGTGGATATTTTAACTTCTCTGCTGCTGTACTTACTTGGGCTTTCGTTCTCTGCTTTGACGTCCTGGTTCTGGGCAAGGGACTGCAACAAAAAGCTGACGCCTTATGTAAGCCTCAACTCAGACCTCGCCCTACAGAGCTCACCTTTTGTCCATTCTGATTTAGCAGCAAGTCTCAACTCCCACAATTCCTATCGACTCTTTCACCACTCTCCTCTAGACTCTTATGTAACACCTTTTATCATAGACAATATGCTTCATCTATTATTTTTGTCAAAAAATTTGAAGCAATGAGATTTGATCTTCTTCAACCTCCCAAACTCTTGCCTTGAGATTTAAAATATACAGTCTGATCACATTTTTCTGATGAAGGCAACAGTTTCATTTCCTCAAAATCAATTCTCAGTCTCATCTTTTGTTTCTCTTCTTACCCATCTACTCAGGGATCTTTGTTCTTCACAAATCAACATCCTATCCTTATATTAAATTCTCCTGTCTTTTTCTTTCTCTGCTTATAATTTTATTCAACTCTGTTTTGCAAAAAAACAACTATTCTGTCATATTCTATTAAGAAATTCCACTATTCTGTTTTCTCTTTCTTTCCTTTCCAATCCAAATTTTCTGAAGGAGTAATAATGTATGCATGCTACTCTCACCTTTTCATTTCCACATTTCTCCATAATCTTTTTCAGTCTGGCTTTTTTTCACCACACTATCAAACACTACTGGTTTAGATCTTCAACTTAAAAATCAGGCAGAGAATGAGCTCTTGGAAGTGCCCATTGCATCAGGCAAATCTGATTTCATATGGCTTATTAATTGAGGACCCACTTCTATTCAGGCAGCACAGGGTTGCTTAGAATTTCAGCAGAAAATGACATTTTTATTAGCTAACATGGCAGACAAGGAAGTTTGAGGGAGCTTAGAGTGGACAGATAAACTGCCAAACGTGTGCAAAAATTTCCATCAAAAGCTTGACTGATCCCATTCATTCATGATAAAGACTAAGAAAATCAGTAAAAAACAAAAGCTGGAAGACTAAGCAAACTCAATGAAAGATTATAATTGCTGCCTATTACAGAGTGATAGAGGCTGTATGTTGAGCCCCAAAGAGTCCTAAAAAACTGTCAAATCAGAATTTGTTAATGGAATTGAATATTATTTAAAAGTAAGGGTCAGTAAAGACATTGTAAATCAACAAAAATCAAGAGCATATGCCACACACAGGACAAAACTTTAGGACATTGTACAGAAAGTTCTTTGGGTTATATGCTGTCAGAGAAAAGCTCAAATATTGGAAGGTAATAAAAAACCCAGAAATAGTAATATGTTGTTCCATGCCAGCGACTGTCTTTTTTTTTTCTTTTTATACTTTTGAACAATAATTATTTTTTCTTTTTTTTGTATTTTTAGGGAAGGAACTACTGGGTGTTCAAGGTCTCATTACTAGATCAGACTCCTAGTGATTCTGTTTACAGCCTCCCAGGTGCTAGGATTACAGGCACGGGCCACCATACACAGTCTCAATTGCAGTCTCAGCGTGCCCTGGGGGTGTGGCGGCACAGCAGGCGGGGGGGGGGGTGTCGAAACCCTGTCCCCTGCACCTGTTTGCAGGTGCTTTAATCTGCTGAACTATTTGGCCACCCATTAAACAATAATTAATTGGTCAAATCAGAACTATATATTTTTATTAATTTTATTGAGAAAAAAAAGCAATGAGACAGTTTCAAAATAGGTTACCAGGACAGTTACAATGATTACTATATTGCATACTGTTGCCTTTGTAGCAGTTGTTCATAGTAAAAGATACAGACATAATATCTTATCTAAACACTATTAGTACAACTATTTCTGCTCATTTAACTAGGAGGAAGTAGCTGTACATCTATCTTAACTGTTTTGCATATATGGAATATATATATATGTATATATCTATCTATATATATATAATATACATATTTTTTTCACTACATAATGGTCCTTCATTTATATCCCCCTTTTTCTTTTAGTTTTGTCAGAGATGGTTATTTCATTGTCATTCAAATACTGTAGGTGCATGAATTCAGCAAAATAATCCAATATAGTCCAGTAGTCCATAATAGTAGTAGGTTAACAGTAGAACTGGCAATGTCAGTTGTTGACTTGAGCCTTGTACAGCTCAGCATATTAATATGGCCTTACTTTTCTTTTTTTTATTTTTTTATTTTATTTATTTATTAGAGAGAGAGAGAGAGAGAGAGAGAGAGAGAGAGAGAGAGAGAGAGGTGTGTGTGGCCAGCTCAGTCCACCAGGGGGCGGGGCTGGCTGGCATGTGGTGCTGGGGGATCGAACCGCGGTCCCTGACGCTTTGCTAAGCTTGTTCCAAGTAGGTGCTTTAGACCACTGAGCCATCTCTCCAGCCCAATATGGCCTTACTTTTCATACCTCGTGTTTATACTTTTCTGCTGGATGGTTAAGACCAAGATAAAGCAAGACCTATTTAACAAAAAATGTAACTTTTGTATCTGACAAGGTCAGTCAAATCCCCTCAGGATTTACCCTGAAATCCTGTACAGCAGTTTGCAGATCTTCAGTCTGTGTCAGCCGTGTGGATGAGTCACAGCCATTGCTTGACCAGTTTGCTCTCAGTGAATGTCTGAGATCATTAATCTTCTCTTCTGGAGGGCTAACAACTTAAGTTTGCAGACCAAAAATTTAAGGAAAAAGAAGGGCTATAAGGATAGCCAACATTTTGGCCCTAGCCCTTCAAGGTCAGTGAGGACTCAGGACATAAGAGAAGATGTACTGTAACACAGTATAACTCAGGTGTGTCCCAAATTTTCTGTTCAAGGAGATTATGGGGATACAGAAGAAAGTGATTGATGATGTAGAGGGTGCCTAAAGAGAGTCACATAGAGAAAACTATATTCTGTGGTGGAGTAAATAAAATCTAAATTTCTAACTAGTAGCTAAAATGGTAAACTTGGTATAAATAAGAATTTATACATTGCTGAAAGTTTATTAAAATTTTTTTAGCATGCAATGGTGCTACATTAGTGTCACATAAAACGTGAACACATAAGAATGGGTATTATCTGTCGATTAGCCATAGAACACAAAAAATGGAGAAACAGCTAAAGAAGCAACAGTGGAGCTAAAATAAAATATTGAAATAATTTTGATTTTCCACCAAAAAAGGTATGAAATAAAGCAACAGAGGAGGGCCAGGGACATAGCTCAGCACCACAGAGCATGCCTGGCAAGGGCAAAGTCCTAAGTTCAATTCTCAGAATCAAAATAAAATTAACTTTTTAAAAAAGGAACAAAGGAAATATAAATCAAATTGTAAATGATAAATCAAAATCCAGTTATTCAGCAACTATAATTTAAACATAAAAATTATAAATGTATATACTTAGTATTACTTTCAAACTGTTGTAGCAAACTCTGACAAAGTTTAAATAAATAGAATTTTAAAACATATTTGGAGAATGGAAACAACAAGGAGAAAAAAGTAATTGTAGAAAGAACTTGTTTAGCTTCCCAAATTAAGTAATTAGATCCTAAAGAATTAAGGTTTTGTTTTTTGTTTTTTAGTTTTTGTTTCAGTAACAGCATTTGGGAAAAAAATAATACAAGCTGTGACCTCATCAGCAGCCAGATAGTGACAAAATATTTGGGACATGAGTTTGGCAATGTTCTTCTAAATGATTTTCTATTATAAAAATATTTCAAATTTAGCATTCTGTTGTCACTCAGTTTTCTTCCCACAAAGTTCATGAGCGATTAGGTAAGACTTCTGCACTTCATACCACAAGCTAATACATTGCACCACACTTACTTTGTATGAAATTAGTTTTCAACTGAACCTTCTGGTGTGAGATAAATAAATGAGTTCTTACCTTAAAAACTAGTTCTCCTACCAAGCCATTCCATGTGCCATCTTCCTGTGGGCTCCCATACTTGTGATCTGGTGCCACATAAATTTCGTAGTTAAAGCCCAGGTAGTTGGATAAGGCATCGAGAACATCAATGGAGAAGCCCTGGTATTTCTTCGGTTTTCCCAAGACATTTTCAGAGACCATGACAAAGGGTTCTTCCTATGTGGATATAAGAGACATTTGACTTCAGTACCATTCTAGACATTCAAAGATTAAGTTTTTAGAGTTTAGCTTGCAAAGTATAAACATTGTTTAACTGCAACAAACTCAAGATATAATTTATGCATTATTAGTTCAACATGTCATTGAAGAGCACTGAAAGTGAGCAAAACAATTCAGGGTTCACTAGTTTGTGTTCCCTGAAGTCTCTGGTCAAGTCTGAAATTCATCAGCAGAAAAGTGAATTTTGGGAATTATGTTTCTTTAATACTATAGTTTTGGAAATTATGTTTCTATAATATTACAAACACAATATTTATGTTTCTATATACTTACGTACCCACTCCCATCGTCTGTCTGTCTGTCTG